TTCAAAACTACTGATTAAAAAAAAATCTCTGTTGATTATGGTCACAAGAAAGAAAAGCATAGATGAAGAAAAGATGTTATGAAAAAATAATAAATGGACCGTGCATGGAGAGTAGCTATCAGACTGATAAGCATCTCCGTCTTCATGTGGGTTCCTAGTATGGGGAGCAGGAGTCATCTCTGACATGGACTCTGTTGCCCACTCTTCAATCACTTCTTCTGGCAGGGCAGCCTACCCAGGCCACAGAGGAAGAGGATGCAGGCAGTCCTGAGGAGACTTGATAAGCTAGGGTCAGATAGAAAGGCAGGAGGGCTCCCACTTTCTGAGGACCAGGGGTGGGGAATAGGGGGGAGCATGGAGGGAGGGTGGGACAAGGAGAGAGAGAGGGGGCTACAATTGGGATATTGTGGAAAACCACTTGTCTGTCAGGCTGCTTTATTATTGAGTTCTCAGCGAAAAACATGTTTTCACCCTGCCCTTCACCTGGAGTCAGGGATAGGCAGGATGTTTTGCCAAGTTCACTTCCTTTTGTTTGTGTAAGGATCACTCAGACAGGTGTTTGAGGTAAACAAGTTTGACTTCTTGATGAACTCCATTGTATCAAGGTGCTTTGCTCTGACTACAAAAAGGAACTGTGGAATAAACCGGGAGCCTAGTTTCTACTGGAAGCCCTCTCCAACAGATCCCATGTGTAGTGTCTTGTTTGGTTTTTGGTTTTGTTTTGTTTTTTTCTTTCTTTCAGTCCTCATTCCCCACTCAAGGACTGTTCAACTCTGTCAGCAGGCTCTGGCAGGATACAAAGTGAATAAATTTTTAAAATAAATGGAGGCTGGACATGATGGCTCAGGCCTTTAATCCCAGCACTTGGGAGGGAGAGGCAGGCAGATCTCTGTGAGTTCAAGGCCAGGCTGGTCTACAGAGTGGGTTCCAGGACAGCCAGGGCTACACACAGAGAAAGCCTGATTTGAAAAAACAAAAACAAATAAATAAATGGAAACCCCCAAAGTTCTATCAGAAGTGAAAACAAAATAGAACAAAAAGGATTTAAAAAACCATACTGTATGTTCTAGTTTCTTTTCTATTGCTGTGCTAAAACACTCTGATCAAAAGCAGCTTGAAGAAGTTTATTTGTCTCACACTTTCAGGTCATAAACTCTCACTCAGGGAAGTGAGGGCAGGAACCGTGGAAGAACACTGCTTGCTCATTCTAAGTCACCTGTGCAGCTGGCTTTACTATATAGTCCAGGTGACTAGAGATGGTGCTGCTCACAGTGGGCTGGACCCTTCTGTATCAACAATCAAGACAGTCCTCCACAGACACACCCCAGGCCAATCTGACCCAGTCAGTTCCTCTATGGAAACTTTCCTCTCAAATGGCTCTAGACTAGTGGTTCCCACCTTCCTACATCTATGATGCTTTGATACAGTCCCTCATGTTGTGGTGACCCCCACAACCATTACATTATTTTTGTTGCTACTTCACAACTGTAATTATGCTACTGTTAAGAATAGTAATATAAATATCTGTGTTTTCCGATGGTCTTGGGCAACCCGTGTGAAAGGGTCATTTGACTCCCAAAGCAATTGAGAACCGGTGCTCTAGAGTGTGTTGGGTTGACAATTAAAGCTCGCTAGGACTCAATGCCAAGAAAGAGTCAGTAAACTTGAACAGAGCAACAGGGATATATCTGATGATATATCAGAAACAGGTCCAAACAAACAAACAAACAAACAAACAAAAACAGGATAGAAACAGGGTGAAAAACCGGTTAAAGAAAAAAAAAGAATAAAAAATTCTAAATCTAATGGAGAGTGAGCCACAGATCCCAGAGATGTGTAGTGCTGAGTACAGGCGACAGGGAATTACAACAACATCTCCATAATCAAACTGTTTCCAGCCAGGATGAGGAGCACGCCTTCAAAGCAGCTGGCAAAAGAAAAATTCCTGCAGAGGAACAGGAATCAAAATGACAGCAATGTTCACCTAAGAAACAATATAAGCCACGAGAAAATAGAGCTACAGCAAGAAAAATCTACCTTCTGGAGTTTTATATCCAGAAGGAATGTCTTTCAAAAACTGAAAGTGGTCTCACTGAGAAATCTTAAAGAAGTTGCTGCCTCCTGGCATGGAGACAGTGGTTTTCACCTCTAGTCCTGGTACTTCGGAGGTAGAGGTGGAAGAGCTGGAATCCAAGGTCATCTGAAGGTATGAGTCAGTTTGAGGGTAAGCTGGGTCACTTGAGACTGTGTCACAAATAGAAGAAAGAAAGAAAGAAAGAAAGAAAGAAAGAAAGAAAGAAAGAAAGAAAGAAAGAGAAAGAAAGAAAAGAAAAGAAAAAAGAAAGGGAGAGAGAGAAAGAAAGAAAGATAGTTCTTTAGTTAGAAGCTGGGAGGGCACCAGAAAGAAATTTGTGTGAGTACAATGTTTCCTCCCTGTCAATATTTTTAGAAAACAAGCCTTCCAAGCAAAAAAATAAGAACAATGGTGCCAGAGAAGTGGCACTAAATTAGCTCTAAGCAAAGGCTGTGGGCTGCTGTAATAAGCTCAAAGGAAGTATTTAAAAGGTAAAATGAATCACAAGTAATTTAACTGTTTGCCTGGAAAAACCTCAGCATTCATAAAAGGAAGAAATAAAACCAGTGCTCAACAACATAAAATTCATGATGTTCTGCTTTACAAAGCTTGTAAAGAATGGAGAGAAGGTGGCCTACAGGAAAGGAGTTGCAGATATAGGAACACCATAGACAATGGAATCTGTAAAGGAAAGTCTTAAGATTTAATATCACAAGATTAAGATTTTGGAGCCTGTGAGATGGCTCAGCGGGTATTTGCCACCAATGAACCTGAGTTGGATCCCCAAAAGCCAAGTGATAGAGAGAGAGGACTAAAACTCTACCCTGACTTCCACAGGGTTGCTGTGGCATGGGAATCCCCCAGAGGAGAGGATCTGGGGAAAGGACCATATAATTGTTCCTCTTTCCTCTAGTAATGACCACATGACTGTATGCATTACCTTATCACAGTACACACTTAAGGTGAATTAGCCTTCATTTTAGCAAACATTATATGATATTTAATTTTTATTAAGTCATCAGATTATACTGTATACACATTACGCCTCAATAAACTATTTTAATGCATTCTGCCAATCAAAACACCATGAAATGCATAATACATAAGCCCATGTGTATGACAGTTTTCAGCCCAACTTCTAGCTACCAAAAGCTTTTCACAGTATGTCTTCCTCATCCAGTGTGATGACTGTTCAAGACTTGAATGAGTGATCAAACGAATAATTATATAAGAGGACAACAAAGCCAAGCGAAAAATGGATGAGTGACGCTTGCTTAACCCATTCCTTCTATTCAGATGTTTGGAAGTCATTGTTATTATAATCTAACCTAATTATACTATACTATCATACAATTATAATGTAACTGATATTATAATCTAACCCATGCACGACAAGTACTTATTTCCTGCAAATATGTCCCCATATAGCATTCATGTGAATAAATACATTTGTAATATAGCATACACTTGTAAACATGTCGCCCATTGTGATTAAACCTTATGCCACGTGGCACCCTAAGGCCTGCCCTGCACCGACTCGTGTCTGTGAAGACCAGTGTCTGAGTGCCTTTTACAAGGAATGATGCTCTGGACACATCGTTTCCCATGTGATTGGGAAGGAAAGGGTCACGAGAGCTGCTTTTCCAGGCAGAGTTAGAGGAGGGCATTGCAGTTGTACCAGGGCGTGCTGACAACGTCTAACTACATCAAATCTTATCTAAAAGCAGCAAATCCCCTCACCCAGAGGCCAGAGAGCGGGGCCTGTCCAGCTGCCCGCCAGGGCTCAAGCCTTTCCTCCCCTAAAGGCTTCATTTCAGAACTCAGATGATAACGCACTCGCAGTCCCTGGGAATTTTAGTAATAGCAATAACCTTCTCGCAAAGCTAGGAGAAACTATACTGTGCAACTACAAACTTCCTGGAGACACACATAGTAATCTCACTATCTGTGGCCATAGCCGTTACCAGAGGGCAGGATTCATCAGGTTAATGAAGTTAAAATGCACAGCCCCCTGGCACAGTTCATTCTGAGTTATTGAAAACAGCCCTGGTCAGGTGCCTGATTCCTGGGTAGATCTTAAGTTTTACCAGCATCCAATGCAGGGTAACAGAATGGCAGCTGGACATGTGATTTAAAGGAAGGAACATGAATGCAAAGAGTCAAGTCCTCTTAGAAGATATGGTGAACATTTTTCTTAAGGAGCAATTTTAAGCTGGTAAAAGAAATTGTAGTAAAATGTATAGCGTACCCTGGAAATGGAAATGAAAATGCCTGAGATAGAGGGACACAAATTTGGGTCTTTGCCATCCAGGCTTTACACTCTTGCAAGGTCAGAGTGTGGCAGACCACTCCAGGTCTGTCAGGCCACAGACTGGATCTGGAGGCTAGAGCAAAGATTTGTTCTGTGGTCTTAGAACTTAGACCTGGACTTCCCAAAGCCTGTGTCTTCTAAAGAAAGAAGCCTGGTTGGTGTGTGTGTGTGTGTGTGTGTGTGTGTGTGTGTGTGTGTGTGTGTGTCCTTGGTAGTTTTGTCTCACTTCAGTTATCTCACGGAAGGACTTGAAGAACATGCATGAAATTTTCATGAAGAACATGCATAATGTACATTAAGAGGCCTTGGAATCCATGCACACAAGTCTTCATGGCAACTCTCTAGGGTAGATCTTGCTGTCACAGTGACAACTACAAGAGCCAAAAACAAAAGGCTCGGGAAAGAGGGTGGCTGAGTTGTCCAAGAAAAAGAAAAGTAAAGCTTTTCCAATTTCTCTGGGGATAAAGGAAGAAGTCACACTGCCCGGAAACCTTAGGATCAAGATGTCTGGAAATACCTATTTCTGGGAAAAGCAAGCAGGCTGAATCAGGAGCAACACATTCTAAATCCTGGCAATTACATGTTGAGAGCCTCACCAGATAGTCCAGGTGTTACCTTGCAATAGGCCAGTTGTGTTGCTGACAGCTGCGTGCATATCAGGAAGAGGACACACTCTCAGTTGGCGCCTCGTACAGCCACGTTAATGCAACTCAAGTGTGGTTCTGCACCACAGCCGTCTACCCAACTGGGGCAAGGCAGTGGCTTTTCAGGCATTGCTCATTCCAAAGAGAGCCAGCATCCCACGGCATGGCTGTGGAGACAAAGTCAGATTCTTTGTTCCAAATCTGAAATGGGCTGAAGGCAAAGATGCTAAATCATGGGCACAAGGCAGTCCTGTGTAAGCATAAGGTTATTGTGTACTTCAAATGCTGTTTTCTGTACCCTCCTCCCCATATCTGGTTGCAATCCTTTTTCTGAGACCCTCCTCTCTTAATGTTGAGTAAACACTGCTCTCCAATTGTCCCCTGGTATGCAATTAAAGCGCCTTACAGCCAATCGATGAGCAGGGAAGAGACTAGGGCTGGACTTCCTGCCATCCAGGGGAGGAGGAGTTAGAGGAGAAAAGGGAATTCAGTGGTGGGCAGATGACCTGGAGGAAAGGAGAGCGGGCTCAGCAAGGAAAGCTATGAAGTGCAAGTATTTCTGGGGTATAAGCTGGGAGCAAGCCAAATTAGCCTAGAGGGTTAAAAATAGAGTAATAACTGCTCATTTGTTTGTGTGTGATGCTTATTATTAAACAAATATAAAATAGTCTCAATTATTTGTGTGATAGCCTGGTTAAGAAAAACTAAGAAACAATCATAGCCTTATAAAAATAACCTTAACAATCCTGGATAACAGTCACATCACTCCAATAAATGGGTTTCATACTTCCAGAGCGGTCATGACAGAACATATTCATGGCATGCCTGTCTCTTCCAGCCCCAAACAAGACATAACAGTTACAATACAGTCTCTCCTTAGAAGAAAAGCTGTCCAGCCAGAAAGACAAGAGTGGCAGTTACCAAACCAGGGCTACGGCCCTGTGTACCATAGCACCTATCTAAATTCTACAGCCACAACAGTAAATGTCAGACCAGTCTTAAGGGTGCAGAAATGCTTGCAGATGTCTTGGGCCTTCAAGGTAAATAACTAAATTAGCAGAGAGGCAAATGTCCAGGGGGGTAGAAATAGCATTCATAGTGAAATATAAAAACGGAAACAGTATTGGACACAAAAATTGCTGACAAAAATCAAATCGTAGGGTAAAGGGAAGAGACTTCAAATGAAATTTCAATTTGATAGTGGCCAGAGTCTTTTAAACATCTCCACACCGTCTCCAAGAAGACAACACAGAGGATAGTAAGGAAGCCCATGGGACATCCTCCCCTGCCTCAATTCACTCCCACTAAATATGCTTTTCCCCTTGCCCCTTCCCTTCAAGCATTTTTAATCCAAAATATTCCTTGTTCTACATATTCATCCCATGTAAGCCTTTATTTTAGAATAAGTTAACAAAAACTGTATACATTATAGGGACCTTATCAATGAGCACAAACAAGAAAAATTATAAAAGTCATAGTTATTTTTTTAAATCCAAATATTTGCAGAACAATAGAGTTAATTCATGACTATTACGCAGAAAATAAAGTCAGTGTCCCATGATTGTCTCATTTTGCAGTTTCTCCTTTCCAGGTGATGTCACAGAAAGAAGCAATCTAAGTGGTGCCCAGCAGACTTAAATTAAGATGAACTGAGGGTAGCACAAAGGAGGTTGAGTTCACAGGGGAGAGTCTAAGAAAAAAGAGAACTTTACAAAGGAGTCCAAAGATCTGAGAAGGGCCCCTCTGAGGATGCTGTAGAGAAACCTTCCTAGCTGTGTATGAGAAAACTACTCTGAGAAAAAGCAACCGCAAGGATCATGGAGGCCACCAAACAAATTCACAGTCTGTATAATCCACAGGCACTGGATAGAAAAATCAAAGGTCGCATTTTGTGGTGGCACAAAAATAGTCCCACACCTTTTTCTTGGTCTGTCTAATAATTGTTGAAATAAGATTCACAAGGTCGTTCTTGGCAGGCGATTTAACTGCACGCAGGAGAAGAGCTCGATATTATTTAGAGTTGGTAACGTGCACGCTGAGTGTGCACAGAGCCCCGAGTTAAGTCCACAACAGCACTGAAACCAGGGATGTACGTCTGCAGTCCTGGCACCCAGGGTTGGATGGATCGGCCACGAGGAAGGACCGGAAGTTCAAGGTAATTCTCAATCCCACAGTGTGTTTGAGGCCATCCTGGGATGTAGGAGACCCTATCTCATACAGAAGAGGAGGACGAGGATGAGGACAAGGAAGAGGATGAGGTGGAAGAAGAGGAGGAGGAAGAAACAAAAATAATAACATTATGACAGCAATGCTGGCCCATAGGGTCCCGCAGTCCAACCAATCATAAGCCTGTCAGGCCCCAAAATTAAATCTTTTCTGTCACATGCAGAAAGCTACATTAACCTGCATTTAAAATCAGCATGGTTTCTTGTGGGGAATTCATAAGGAAGAGAGGTATTATAAACTTCTGGATCTGGGCTTTAGTTAAGCAGCAGCCCCTCCCATGAAGTTTTCCACTGAAAAGGTTGCACTTTATTCAAATGTCTAGGAAATGTGAGGAATGAATGCTACATTATGATATCACCATTATGGGACTGGCCGAATCTAGAAAGTGATAAATTCTATAGGACAAAGGACTTGGTTTCTTCAGTAAATGTCATGAATGGCCTCAGGAAGTGGGACTAGCTTAACAGAAACTTGAGCAATAGATCAACTAGTGTATTTGGGGGATCCCGATTCAAAACACTATTGAGGCAGAATTTAAGTACTAATAGGTACTGAGACCACATAAGAACTATGTAAGATAAAAGGAATTGTGTCTCTTATCCCTGAGAACTCAGTCTTCAGCATTCAACATGGGTATTTCTCCAAACAAAAGAATGGGGGTGCTGAAGGACAAAAAGAATTCCATGTGGTTAGGAAGTGTTAATGAGAAATCATGCCAGCCTGTGTTCAAATGGCAAGGAAGGATTTATTCAAGACTGCTGCAGAAGGGGGAGAAAGTTTGATCTCCACTCTAGACACCTCTGGGAGAAGTAGGCATTTATAGCCAACAAGCAGGAAGAATGAATGGATGGAAAATTACCAAAAAGAAATTCGTTAGGTATCAAGGCTTGATAAGAGGAGAGTGAGGCGTAGGGGGTTCTCTGCAAACTGACTAACAATGATTCTCTACTACAACTGGGCTTAGCTGACCAAGGTCAGACTTAGGTCCAGGCCTAGTCTAGAAAAATAAAGTCTGCTTTCTTGGTCCAGGAAAGCAGGTTCCTTGACAGACATAGAAAAACTCTAAGGATACAAGGATTACAGTAAAGAGGTTAGAGATAGAAGGGAAATTTCACAGAGAGTGACTGGTTAATGAGAGTAGCCAAATGGACATCCAGAGAAGCCAATCACCAGGCCAAACCAATGAGAACCTAGGAGTGTGCCTAGCTTGGGATGGAGCCAGAGCTGAGAATTGGATTGTGATTCTAATTCAAAGCAAAGGACTGCTTTGCCCATTTTTCCCTCTACTTTGTGTGTGCCTGACTAACAAGATGTCCACTTGGTAGGCATCAATTTTTCCTATCAATTGCATTTACTGACTTCTTCCAACACACTTCCCCTAAAAGGTCTGCTAGTTGTCCATAACAGATATCTATGCAATCTTAGCAGTTTTCTGAGTCAGAGACACAAAAAATGAGGGACTGCAATTTCCAATCTACACTAGATAAACTAAACCCAAAGTCTCCAGTCCATGTAACTGCCTGATCCATATCTACAGACAAGAAACAAGTAGATTGGTAGATTCCATCTGTGTTGACTCCATTCTTCCTGAACTCTGTTACTTTGGATCGTTTCATCACTGGCCAACCCTCCTGCAAGACTGGCCAATCAAAACAAGTCTTTTTGAGTCTTATTGAGTGCCTTTATCCACACGGGTTAAGCCCTGGCAAACCATCTACTATGAATGGAAATAAGCTACTGAACAAAAAAAAATGGCAGCTTGGGATCTTTATTTTCCATCGAACCACTTTGTCAATGAAGATGACTTCAGGGTTATACTGCAAACATCACAATTTCTAAGTTCATTTAAATGAACTTTTATCTATCAGCAACACTTAGCTTTCAGAAAAAAAAATACTTATTGAAAAACAAACCAGGGAAGAACATGAAGCCACAAGTTTCTTGGTTGATGTTTTTGTTTTTATACAAGGCCTTGCTCCCAATCCCAACCAGATAAAGAACTGGTTCAAATGATTCTTTCCATGCTCTTGATACTCTTGTTTCCAGAGCTGAGCAGAGAGGCTCCAAAGAAATGAAATCCCCTTCTTCCCACTATTCTGTTGTCTTTCAAAACAGCGGGACTGCCAAGATCAGCCCTGAAAGAGCTTCCTTTGAAGTGTTCCCTGTGTTTCTCCTACAGCTGGAGCAAAACAACCACCTATGCTGTGCACCCAGTCCTCAGAGGGGCAGCCTGGAGGCCAGGCCACCGTGTTCAACGGCACTCTAAGGACAGGGAGCTGCTGCCACTGGGGGTCATATCCAGGAACTTGGGAATGTAGGGCTGTCACAACACAAACTGGCAAAGTGACATGGGGTGAGAGATAATACAAATATCACTCCAAGGGACCTGGGATCGTGGGCTGTACTCAAGAGTTCATATGTGTCAGAAGAAGGGAGTCTTTTCTGTTTCTGAGGCTTGGGCATTTCTGTACTTGAGGCCAAGGATTAATTTCTATCAAGTTTAGCATGGATTTCCCTCCAGGCTGTGTGAGGTGCCCTTATACGTTATACATATACGAAAACTGTCTTCATTATAAACATAACAGAAAATGTTTCAGAGCACAATTAAGGGTAAAAAGGCTGTCCCAAATCAACCTGAAGACAGGGTGGAGACAAATGGAGACCAGCCAAATAAGAAATGCAAAGCTGTGTGTTCAGAGCTTGGGGCACGGGAACCCACCACCATCATTTACAGCTTGACAGACTCGAGGATAATAACTGGATAGGCAATTTTTGCTGGGGAAACAGGAAGTTTTCTGATGTGCCTGATTAATTGGGGTCTGTTTAACTCCAGGCATTGAAGCTGGCCTAACTAGACAGCCATATCATCTGAAATTGGGTAGGGGTACATATTTGGT